AACCGATATATAAACCTATAACCTATAAGTACCTGTTTTGACTGTATTAAATATAAATTTCAAAAGGGAGCTATAAGCACCTGGGACTTGATCCCCGGGCTATAAGATGGCATGCGGCAGCTTTTCTTGTTGAAGTAGAATGCCGAGGAATGTCGTCCAACGCTGTGTAACACATTAAGAAAATAGTTTAATCAACAACGTGATCGTGATGTTGAAGAATATAAATCTCAGATGTTTATTTTGTTCCCTTGGAAAAAAGGCGTTGTAAAGTCATGACATGCCTTTTTGAAATGAGACCTAAAATAACCGGTTTATTTTGAGGTCTTAATGACAAAAATGAGCCACCTCTTGAATCAATCAACATGAGCAATTTTTTTCTAAATCTTGTTTGTAAAGTATTCTATACACGTTTCCAGGCGAAGTTCTTGGTGGATTGATTTCAAATTTTCATGAATGATTTGGGTCAGAACATGTTGTACACGTTTGTGTCCTTAAAATCCCATCATATTTATTTTAGAACTTATAGATGATTTTGAACCCTTTTTGACCTTGAGAGGGTCATTGGAGGTCAATTCTAAAGTCAGATTTGAACTTCTGAAAACTCGTAATGATTTTGAAAAAATTGAAGTCAGCGTATTTGTTAGTTATTGGAAGTTGTAAGAATTTGTTACAGGCGCCGACCGCCGTCACAAAAACGGAGACCATTACAATATGTTACCACTTTTACGGTTACGGTTGCTGCTGAGCAATTCCAAAAGAACGCGAAAATGTGATAACTATCAACGTTTTTTTAGTCCAAAACTGTATTATTATTGCTGTAGTGTTCCATTTTGTATACTGATATCAATGATGAAAATCAGAACTATGTAATGTCACTTACCAGTTTTATCGAAGAGATCTTATACAAGACAGAGACGGTACTGCACATCGACAATACACCAATTTACAAGGCAAGATTGAAAGGAAACAAATCTAACAACGGATTGTCGTGATATTGAAACTTTATACAATGCCCTGTATTCACTTGATAAAGCCCCTTCCGACTTCTACCTTAGACTAACGGACGTATGAAAACAAGATCGGCTGGAGTTCAACATGCAAATGAGACTATGCTGAAAGGCATTTGTTTTCAGCACTGTGAGTGATGGACAGCAGTGGTTTTATCATGCCTTTGAATCAAGAAGCACCACGATATAGATAATGCTGGGAAGTACATGATACTGGATGACAGTATTAATGAGAAACGTATTAAACAAATCATTTTTAGTGCTAATCCTACATTGTTGACGTTACTATGACGTGACCATATACCCCCAACTATACCATAACGTAAACCAACCATATAACTTCATTATTCTGAGATTTGTTGAAGTTTAATCCCACAACAACTGGTAAATCTCTTGTATTTGGTGCATTTGTAACTTAATTTCTTGGACACCCTGCTTGTAGATCCACTATATGGCTTAATTCGTTCAAAAATGGCGATATATACTGTAGAACTTGGATTTTGTGATTTTTCAGTTATTCAGTTAATAACCACAGTCACACCTTGTTACTATCAGCCTCGTTCGAGTCGAGTAGTAAATCCATCAACCATACTAAAATTAGTTATTCAATGATATGAGTGAAATACGAAAATATTCTTCCCGAAAAGTTCTGTATTTCATGATTCGCTAGCAGAGTGAAACTTAATTTTTTATAAGTATATTTTCTGTATTTCACGAGAAATCATTGAATAACGTTTTTATTCCATGATCACTCAGACGAAACTCGCCAAATATCAAGTCCAATTCCTTGGCCCGGCCGAAGAGGGGGAGAAACACCAGGGTTCAAGATGACATACGCTTATAATGTAAATCTGTATTGAGATGACATCGTCGCTGATTGGTTTAGCGAGTCGATCGTTGATTGGTTTAAAACTAGATCAATTTGAAAACTTTGAAAACCAAGATGGAGGGTAAGTACTTTCGGGAAAAGAGGCGCGCGAAGGAGGAAATCGTATGTCATCAATTGATTCATGGGGTTTTCCCTCCTCTTCCCCGGCCGGAGAAAATTCAGACAGATCAACCTTACTCATTTGATTTTCTTGTATTATACGGTACGTTTAATCTTATGCCCCTTCTCTTCAATTTCATCAGCTGAAAGTGCAGTGTAGCGAAACGTTTTTCGACTTTCGTCTGCCATATTGGATTTTTTATTGAAAACAATGTGTATGCTTCGACTTGTTTTCTTATATTTGCAGATGCGGGTTTTAACCTCAAATTATAAATTATAATGATCGATCACAGTTTTATAGCAAATCGCAAAGATTAGCACATGACTGCTTAAACTAATCGCCATCGAATATTTCAGTAACAGTCATATCCTGGATGGTAATCTGGGGCCTTGGGATACTGAACCATATCCCAACGGTGACCTAATTTTAATTTTTCACTCTGTATTTTTTTAGTAGTAGGCTTTAATTTTCGCTGGTTTAGCACGATGTGCCAAAATTAAATCCGTATGATATCGAAATTGATTTTTCTGAATTTTATATTGTAAGCATGGGATCCGGATAAACCAAACTTTGGATTATTTCTCGCGATATCTTATCGCCTCTTTCAATTCAAAGTTCAACGACAACACTACTCCTTCGCTTCGCCCACTTGATTAATGATTCGTGTTCAAAGGGTTTTATACAATATTACTTAAGAATTTGAATCAACATTTTTGCAACTGTGTATCTTCATTTACGATATGCACGTTTCATACCAGACAATTTTTTCATATACATTATATTTATTTCTCATACATAAATAATTAGTCTATGTACATATAGTGACGTTGATGTTCTTGTTATAATTAAATATATATACATATTATGAGAAGATTCAGTCTCCATGTATTCGTTCAATATACTGTATGCCTATCCCACGTTTTGTACAACAGACTTCCGCTTCGAGGACGTATGTTTCAATTTATCGAACGTCAGCGTCTTTACTGTTACAAGACTTTTGTTGTTATTCCTTGAGCAAATATGCAAACGCCCCATATTTTTGCTCAATCTAAGCGTTGTTATTCCTTGAGCAAATATGAAACGCCCCATATTTTTGCTCAATATAAGCCCATCTCAAGTTTTGTACAACAGACCTCTCCCGTCGACACCTATAGGCCGTGGAATTGTCCTTTTATGTCAACATTGATAATTTACTAGTCTGAGACTTCCGCTTCGAGGACGTATGTTTCAATTCATCGAAAGTCAGCGTCTTTACTGTTGATAGCCCATGTCGTTCTTTGAGCAAATATGAAACGCCCAATATTTTCGTACAATATTATTTATATGCCCATCTCAAGTTTTGTACAACAGCTAGACCTCACCCGTCGACACCTGTAGCCCGTGACAATGTCTCTTATTATGCCAACATTGGTAATTTACTAGTCTGAGACTTTCGCTTCGAGGACGTATGTTTCAATTTATTGAAAGTCAGCGTCTTTACTGTTACAAGCCTCCTACAAAGCAAATATGAAACGCCCCATATTTTTGCTCAATCTAAGCGTTGTTATTCCTTGAGCAAATATGAAACGCCCCATATTTTTGCTCAATATAAGCCCATCTCAAGTTTTGTACAACAGACCTCTCCCGTCGACACCTATAGGCCGTGGAATTGTCCTTTTATGTCAACATTGATAATTTACTAGTCTGAGACTTCCGCTTCGAGGATGTATGTTTCAATTCATCGAAAGTCAGCGTCTTTACTGTTGATAGCCCATGTCGTTCTTTGAGCAAATATGAAACGCCCAATATTTTCGTACAATATATGCCCATCTCAAGTTTTGTACAACAGCTAGACCTCACCCGTCGACACCTGTAGCCCGTGACAATGTCTCTTATTATGCCAACATTGGTAATTTACTAGTCTGAGACTTTCGCTTCGAGGACGTATGTTTCAATTTATTGAAAGTCAGCGTCTTTACTGTTACAAGCCTCCTACTGTTGTTCCTTGATCAAATATGAAACGCCCAATATTTTCGTTCAATATATTATGCCTCAAGTTTTGTACAAACAGACCTCTCTCGTCGACACCTGTAGCCCGTGACAGTGTTTCTTATTATGCCAACATTGGTAATTTACTAGTCTGAGACTTTCGCTTCGAGGACGTATGTTTCAATTTATTGAAAGTCAGCGTCTTTACTGTTACAAGCCTCCTACTGTTGTTCCTTGATCAAATATGAAACGCCCAATATTTTCGTACAATATATGCCCATCTCAAGTTTTGTACAAACAGACCTCACCCGTCGACACCTGTAGCCCGTGACAATGTCTCTTATTATGCCAACATTGGTAATTTACTAGTCTGAGACTTTCGCTTCGAGGACGTATGTTTCAATTTATTGAAAGTCAGCGTCTTTACTGTTACAAGCCTCCTACTGTTGTTCCTTGATCAAATATGAAACGCCCAATATTTTCGTTCAATATATTATGCCTCAAGTTTTGTACAAACAGACCTCTCTCGTCGACACCTGTAGCCCGTGACAGTGTTTCTTATTATGCCAACATTGGTAATTTACTAGTCTGAGACTTTCGCTTCGAGGACGTATGTTTCAATTTATTGAAAGTCAGCGTCTTTACTGTTACAAGCCTCCTACTGTTGTTCCTTGATCAAATATGAAACGCCCAATATTTTCGTACAATATATGCCCATCTCAAGTTTTGTACAAACAGACCTCACCCGTCGACACCTGTAGCCCGTGACAATGTCTCTTATTATGCCAACATTGGTAATTTACTAGTCTGAGACTTTCGCTTCGAGGACGTATGTTTCAATTTATTGAAAGTCAGCGTCTTTACTGTTACAAGCCTCTGTTGTTCCTTGAGCAAATATGAAACGTCCAATATTTTCGTTCAATCTATCATGCCTCAAGTTTTCGACAACAGACGCTCTCCTGTCGACACCTAAATCCCCATCTCAAGTTTTGTACAACAGACGCTCTTCCGTCGACACCTGTAGCCCGTGACAATGTCTCTTATTATGCCAACATTGGTAATTTACTAGTCTGAGACTTTCGCTTCGAGGACGTATGTTTCAATTTATCGAAAGTCAGCGTCTTTACTGTTACAAGCCTCCTACTGTTGTTCCTTGAGCAAAAATGAAACGCCCCATATATTAGGGGATTTATCATACTGTTGGACATCCCAAAGAAGAATATCCAAATGAAGAAATGTGGTGAATGAGGCAGTTGTGGCTTGAAGTATGTCCAAGTGATTAAGACAACATAGTAGGGGGTCCAGCACAATATGAAGGCCAGGACGATAACTGCGGTCATACGCAATGACTTTATCTTTGCCTTCTTGAAGAGTTGGTTCCGTATTGGGCCTCGTAGCATTTCACTTGTTGAAAGATCGGACATATCTGGAAATATAAATTGCGAAATAAATACGATTTGTATTATAAAATTTGCTTCAATATGAAAACAGTATAAGCTGTGATTTACATGATTTCGATCTGCGGCCTGTTCTGTCGAAGTCATCTACTTCGCAAATCTATGTCTAAAAGATTAGATTAAAAAATTCAACAAATATCCTTGATTGCATCAATAGCAGCATGGCCGAGAGCATTGGACAGAAACGACATAATTAATACAGCTGAATAATACCGAGCAACGAGAAACATATCACGCAATCTTCTTAAATAGCTTCAAGCAATTCCATTATTCTATTCGGATTTTGCAGAAAAACTAAATTCAACAAAGTTAGCATGTTTTCATTTACTATTGTAATTGAGGAAACACAGAGTTCAACTTAACTTTGGAGGAAAACAGAAATTCAAAAAGTTTCCTCGGGATAAATCATGTTTCCAAAACCTTCCAGTAGACAACCCATATGTACACTGTATACCCTTCATTTTCATAAAAGAGAAGACGATAACCTGTCGTTTTCTAATTACATTTTACCAGATAAAATAGTTATGTACCGATTGTGTAATAATAAACTCCCAGTTGAAAGGGAGTGTTATAAAAATGTTCTAAGGGAAAATAGGTTTTGCGATTTATGTGGTAAAGGAATAGGTGATGAATTTCATGTCATTTTAGAATGCAAAGCTTTAAGTTATTTTAGAAGAAGGTACCATCCTAAATGTTATTCCACAAGTCCAAACACACAGAAGTTAAATGAATTAATGAATTGAAACAAAAATATACTAATAAAACGTTGTAAATTTTTAATCGAGGCTGGGCAATTATAATGTTGTTTTAATGTTTGTTACTACGGTATATTACTTAAGTTTATCTTTTGTACTCTTATACCCTATAACGGGTGAATTGAGAAATCAATAAATAAATAAAATACATCAAAAACAAGGTAAATACCAGATTCAAAAATTACAGTAAGTGTAATCATTAGAATAATATGTCGCAACCCAGACAATGTGATACAATGATAACCATAAAACCGGGTAAAAATGAGGTAAAAATATGGAAAAGCTATCATTTCTATGTTTTATACTCCATTCATTAAAAAATCTTAATTACTAATTGTGTTTTCAGTGATAACACTATTAAAGCCATAGATAAATTATAAGATATCCGTGTATCTGCATATTACATTTTATGTGCTTACTGATGAAGAAGGCAGTTAGTTTGACACCCTATACTATATCACCGGTGATCCACTCGATTACGCTGGTTACCAAAATGGTTCGTTTCGGTAGTAAAATGTCGAAACATCGAAGGTACGATTTTTCTCCTTATTTCACGCTTTGCAGGCTGAATTCCAACAACATTTTACCACAAACTAGTATCCGTTTCATATGGCTAAGAAATAAGAAAATGCACATGTTTGTGAACAAATAGTTCAGAAGACAACAGAATCGTCGATTTAATACCTCACTTTTGTTACCGAAACGAAAGTGCAAAAAAACGGTTAAGATCTGCGCTTCTAACCCGTTTCGTTTTGGTAACAATAGTGAGGTATTAAATCGACGATTATGTTGTCTTCTGAACTATTTGTTCGCAAACATATACGTTTACTATGTGTACGTTTTGTGACAAAAGTGTCGTGGGAACTCTGCCAACAACGCGTGAAATGAGAAAAAAGAAAAATCCGTACCTTTGAGGTTCCGACATTTTGTTACCGAAACGAACCAGCGTTTCGCGTGGATCACCAGTGTATATACACATGTGCCGCCCAGTAAACCAATTTCTAAATTCGAATGGTATACATTACATCGATACAAGATGTCCTTAATTGGAATAACATTTGAAAATATGTGTTATGGAATATCAATCAGAATTATGTATAAATATAGATGAAAGATATATATCAAAGAGGTGTGAGGCTGATCACGTTTTCTTGCTACATGTGTCTGAAAGCATTATAACGAATACATAGGTCCTTTTACGACTGTAATCACACGTTTGCCTAATAAAGGAGCTGATTACGCCTAGTCAAATAACGCTGTCTAAAAATATACAAAATAAGAAAGTCTTTACACGGATACAATGAGCAGAACGTGTTTAGCTTAAGTACCAAGGATATTCATTGTTATATCCAACGAACGCCTGAAATGACATGTTTAAAAATTAATCTTTTTTATAGTATAAACTTTATTGAGATGGAATTGATATATTTTTGACCACCATCTACCTTTGACAAAATAATAATAATAGAATATGTATTTTTTCCGATGCAATAGGAAATGTTTATGAATAAGAATGATAATTCATATTCCATAATCTCGGTCTATATCACACCCTATTAGGAAAACAAAGGATTGGTATCGATATGATGAACTGAACAAATGTTTCTCTTAAACAAATTCTGAAAATTTTACACATCGTCAATTTAATAATCATCTTTTGAATGGCAACAATTTGATTTGAAAAAATATACTTTTCTCTATATAGTTTTAGAAAACACATCGGACACTTCTTTTGTTCTTGGTATCAAATGTTCGGAATGAAATGAAACATCTATCCGAGACTCATTGGAACAAAATGACATATGAGAAAAACAATGTTGAATCAGTTCACCATATCGATACGAATCCTTTGTTTTAATCGAGTTTGAATGCATTGCTGAATATGTAATGACACTTTCTAGAAGTAATTAGATCAACTGAACATTTTGATAATGCACGGAAAGTTGATCGGGGAACCTCAGGTGAAAGTGCTAATGTGAATTCATCTTAATACAATCTAAGATGATGGAAAATAGTTTAACACAACAGAACTGATGATTTATATATAACTATAATATATTTATCAGGGAGACTACAAAAGCGATACAAAACTTACAGCGTGATTCTCGTTTTTATATCAGTGTAAACTCGTAAGGAATCAGAATAGAAGGAAATGGCGTCTAGGGGCTCATTAAAGGAGTCGGAATAGAGGGAAATCGTTAGTTTTAAATGGTCATTTGAAGGGATCCGAATAGAAAAAATGGACACTTAGTGTCCAGAGGGTCATTGAAGGAATCAGAATAAAAGGGAATTGAAACTTAGTTTTCAAATGGTCATTTGAAGGAATCCGAACAGAAGAAAATAGAAACTTAGTGTCCAGATGGTCATTAAAGGAATCAGAATAGAAGAAAAAGAGAAACTTGGTGTTCAGAAACTCATTTAAGGAATCAGAATAGAAGGAAATAGAAACTTAGTGTCCAGATGGTCATTAAAGGAATCAGAAATAGAAGGAAGTAGAAACTTGGTGTCCAGAGGGTCATTAAAGTAATTGGAATGGAAGGAGATAGAAATTAAGTGTCCAGAGGGTCATTAAAGAATTCAGAATAGAAGGAAATAGAAACTTAGTGTCCAGATGGTCATTAAAGAAATTAGAATAGAAGGAAATAGAAATTTAGTGTCCAGATGGTCATTAAAGGAATCAGAATAGAAGGAAATAGAAACTTGGTGTCCAGAGGGTCATTAAAGTAATCGGAATAGAAGGAGATAGAGACTTGGTGTCCAGTGGGCCATTAAAGAATTCAGAATAGAAGGAAATAGAAAGGTAGTGTAAGGAATCAGAATAGAAGGAAATAGCGTCCATGGGCTAATTAAAGGAATCAGAATAGAAGGAAATAGAAACTTAGTTTCTAAATGATCATTTGAGGGAATCCGAATAGAAGGGATGAAATAGAAGACTGCTGAAATAAAAACTTAGTATCCAGAAGGTCATTTAAGTAATCCGAATACATCTCTAATATGCACATTAATTTATATAGAAGAACTATGCATATGGACTATTTTGTTACCTGTTTTCTGAGAGTCAGTGTCTGAGAGTCGTTCCTGATGTCTTAGCCCCTCAAGTATACTATTGGAGCAACATGAATTGGTCACCGTCATTTCTTGGGCATCATCTGCAAATACATGTATGGGGAAACGCTTATAATCTGCATGTACTGAATCATGGAATAACTTTCGACTTGGACATTTAAACCGGTGTAAAAGGGTGGGTGGCTTCAGTCTTCAAAGATTTCCAGGGGGGTTAACATTTGACAATTTTGGCCACAATATAACTAAAATTACATGAGAAATGCTCAAAATAGTGAAAAACTGCATGATTTTGTAAGAATTTTTGGCCGGGGGGGGGGGGGGTCCTGAATGATACATAAAACATGGCATGGTTTAACATATACCTGCATCATATGAATCATTCATCTTTAAACTTGGGTATTGTTAAAAAGCAAAATTGCGGATTTTAAGTTTTGTAAAAACGCTTCGAATAATATAATGCTGAATCGTGGCGTAATACAGGCTGTTCAAGAAGTAATGATCACTAGGTCACCCATTTTTACAGGTTTGTAACAAATCTAATTGTTGTACATAGTATTAAGGATAAAGTAATGAATCCACATTACCAAGTTTCATGTGTCAATAATAAAAGCATATAACTTTATCATATACATTTTGAGATGGGGTTAAATAATGTTTTCCAAGCATTCTAGGTCCATACCTATTGGCTACAATATTTACTAAATTGCATAAAAAGCAAGATTCCATAATCGTTGACAAAATTGGAGAACTGTCATTTCGTATTTTACTTTGTTATTTCACGCCACGATAGAGAAAGTGGAGACTTCAAGCTAGCGATATTTTTCACAACGTATAGCGCGCTACAAAACAAGCGCTACTATACTTAGTCTACTTCAGATGCCCGCGATCAACTTCAGTTTCGTGTTTAGAACGGGTGATTTGCAATTTCGCGTTGGTGTCAACGTGAATCATTCTACTCATGTATATTTAACGTATACTATAAGTTAGTGAATGATTTGAAGTGCAATACAGGATATATTCTGCTCGAGATATTCCGTATTGGAACGAGACGAAGTCGAGTGCCAATACAGAATATCGAGACAGAATATATCCTGTATTGCACTTCAAATCATTCAATAACGTTTTTATCGTGTGATCCTCTGTATTGCTACGGAGATTGTCCCCTCCGTACCAATATTTTCTGTATTGCGACGGAGATGACCAACGGGGACAATCTCAGTAGCAATACAGATTGGTACAGCACAAGAACCGACCAATCAGAGGGCGTCATTTTACAGATCATACGATAAATAAAAATATTGGGTGAGACTTGAGATAATGTATGCGGCGCCAGTCAAAATTGAAACTTCTGATTGGGTTCGAAGCCGAGATGCCCGGATATGTCCCAGCAAAAGCCGGAATTCACGTGATTTTTCACGAAAAAGGGGCGGAGTTTAAGCGAGATTCATCGAGACTTCTTCGTGTCAATCGTGTCAATCCCTACATTGCTTATTGTTAACTCCACCTTTTTGCCCATATATGGAGTTGGAGATGCCACTTGCGAGCGTGAACAGTTCAGTCTAGAAATAGAAATTTCTTAAGCGATGTCTTTCTTCAATTTTTCTACACGATATCTCGATAAATAGTGGACATATTTGTACCATTCTTTCGTCAAAATGAGGGTATCGCTGGAATACATATTTCCAATCTGTTGGTCAATAGATTTATTCATTGATACTGGCAGGAATTAGATCGTAATAAACATGCTAAAATTGTAAAACTTGGAACGTTTGACAGTAATCTCCGAGTAATGTATGAATTGCATCGGGAGAAAGCAGGAGAAAAGATGGGACAGTCTGTTGTGTGGAGTTTGCAAAGCAATCCCGGATATAAATGACGTCATCTTAGCAGTTTACATGGTTTCGAAAGTGATATATTTTTGTGTCGTAGTGATGAGTTTGAATTATGTCGATTATTCGATTGTTATATATAAATAAACATCGATCTTCGGCGAAGATAAAGTAAGAACAACATATATATCCGAGAAACATGTTGGTAAGTACAGTATTTCATTTATAATGGCAGAAAATCAAATTGAATCGAAATCGAATTTTCAACTTTTTCAATTTTTTTTCGTTCGATTATTTTGATTTTCAATTTGATTTTTACATTCTATCTTCTTCGTCCTGCGGGACTATACTAGGCATAGGCATGGAACATGTATAACATGAGTCAAATTCACTTAAATAGAACATGCTGTAAGCTTTATTTCTTTACATTTTTACGGGCCTATGCCTGGGCTATGACTCTTAGATCTATAGGACTTAGACTAGCCTAATAGACCGGGTGCTTTTCTGCAAAAGGTCTCTCTGTAAAATGTGGTAGGCGTTTAGTGTTAAAAGTGTTCTGACAAGTGTTTCTTATGTAACTTTTTATGCTGAATCCAAAAAACCATGTTGGCAAGCTGAAATATGATTATTTAACCCTTAAAATACCATGTTAGTCCCCCTACCCCCAAAATTCACCCCTATCAGGGGGAAAAAATTCGTCAACCTAAAATAACTTTGATTTTATGGTTTTTGTAAGTGAAATACATGGACATTGTATAAAATAAACATTTGAAGTATGAATGATACGGATTACCCTTAAGAAATTTGAATAAAAGCAAAAAGTATGTACCCCAGGGGGCAAATTTATGACCCATTTTTTACTTTTCGTGTCATAACTTTTTTATTAGACAATGATGGATGCTAAAAAAATCCATGTAAAAGGCATAATACCTGGTCTACTAATCCTGCAAGAATCAAAGTAATTCCTTTGATAATTGCCTTGAAAAAAATTAGTGAATTTAAGAAAAAATGACATTTTAGCTGGGACTGATTTTATGTGTGACTATAATTGACCCCTATTGCTTTAACATTTATCCCTCTGTGTTCATATATTTAGCATTTTAGAATAAATCTAAAATATAAAACTTATTTTAGCTAAGTTTTAGGAAGATTTAAGCTTTTTATCATGTTCAACTATTAAAAATTCATGAAATATGATGTCTAAAATTGATAAGTTATACGTATACCCTTGGAAGACCCTAATATTTCTTATTTATGAACATATTTGTACCAATATTAGTTTTCTAGCTTAGAGAAATGATATATGATATATCCTGGCTTGGCTTTCTGGTGGTTTGAACAATCTTTTAAGTGTTATCATTGAAAATTCATTCTTAAATCATAGGTCTGCAATCGATTAAATTCATGTATACCATTAGTACCATTCTACTGGTATGAGCATAATTGAACTAGCTATGATTTCATAGATTAGTTGTTTGATGCATGACATATTCCGAGCTGACTTTCTGGTGATTTTAACCATCTAAGAGGCTTAATCATTGAAAACCATTACAAATAAAGGCCTAAACGGACAGTATTAAGGTAGACTATTAGAACACCCTTATTAATTCCAGGCTTAGAGTATATTGGTACCTACTACTGTCTCATAGCTCGGAGGTTTGATATATGACATATTCTGACTAGTTTTTCTGCAGATTTGAACCACCTAACAGGTCTAATCATTGAATATACTTAATATACTAGGTCTAAAATTGAAGTATTCAATAGAACCCTCTATGATAAATTCAAAAAAGATTCTGAATGACATTAACCTCAACACTGGATCTGAATCAGAATTACAATTCTTCATAGAGCTGAACTACGAAGACAAGGCTAATTTCATTCTAAGCAGCCTGACAATTGCATGACGTGAGAGCAAAAGTACCAATGATTCTTACAAATCTTCTTTTTATGGAGTTTTCTTCCCTGAACAATGTTAAGTCATATTAAAAAATCCCCCCCCCCCACTGTCCCCATTAACCTTTCTGTGTTACTCTTGGCAAATTCTTGACAAACGCGTATACTCACTTTGACAACATTTTGAATTAGTGGGATGTTTCAGTTAATGAGAGTTTTTGCAGAGTAGCAATTTTTGAAATTTAAATCCAATAGGACCATATATGGGAAATTCAAAAAAGATTCAGAATGACATTGACCATAACATTTGATCTGGAAATCAAATAAAGCAACTGATTGATGTGATCTCGGATGACTCTTGTAAATCAGAATTACAATCCTTCATAGAGCTGAACAAGGAAGACAAGGATTACTTTTCATTCTGGTAGTAATACATGGACATGGTCCAAATCTTGATACGCTTCACCATAGCCCAAAGAAAGGGAAATTGTGAGCTTCATCTCAATGTATTTCAATGCATGATCCCCTTTTTCATGAGATATGACCACCAAAAGTATGCAAGATGGGGCACAGTACACTTCACTGCTGAAGTTTTGCTTCCTAGAAGACTGTAGCCAAATCCTCAGATGTAGATGCAATTGATGCTAATTTGTAAGAAGGATCATATATTGGAAATATTACGGTTGGCATTTCAATACAATTTGTTAAACAGTTAAGGAGTAGAGTACATTTGAGTTGGCTTGAATGTTTCATTCGTCAACGAGAGGGCTATTGGAAAAGACATCAGCTCATGTTTCATGATTTCATTGATGCCCACAGGTCTGTGGTTAGCTTCATATGCAGTGATAAGATTCTGCAAAACATTCTTGTCTGCCCTAACAACTTTATGCTCGTTTAAATTGGGATTAGGCACATAGTTTAGAAAATGTTGGTGCTTGCTCAGTAGATCAAGAAATGTTGTGTCTCTCATTTGACTCTGTTGGTATCAACCTCTAAGACACAAAGACATCCAGTTGTTGTTGGCCAAACTGTCGAGCCTGTTGATTGTTTCTGTGAGTACATCTTTTGTAGATATACTTTGGAGATTAAGTAATGGATCTTCTGAAAACATGCCAAACTTCAGCAGCATGTCACATATTTTATCTTCTTCCAGAGACTGATCTTTTATGAGTACTAGTATCTACAACTATTTTTGATGTTATGAGTATTGGCTATCAATTTTTTCAATTTTTCTTCAACATGTATTGTAATGACTTCAGTATGAATGAAATGTCCCTTGGTGTTCTGGTCCTGGATTGTGATATTGGTTCTCGATTGGAGGGGGGAGGGGGATGTTAGACATTGTTTCTTTTCACGTT